GGGAGGGATCGATCTAACCGCCCAGGTCCCCGAGCAAAGCCTGCCCGGCTCGGCGTGACACTGGGAGAAGGAAGACATGGCCGAGGAGCCGGCTCGGAGGGGAAGCCCATGGGACTCTGAGACCCCAGCCTGACGACAGGTGGACGGAGGGCGGACTGGGCACCTCGCTCAGTCCTCTCGGAGCCGGATTAGTTCAGTGCATCTCAGCCCTTTTTAAATTTAGTCCCTTTCATCAAACAGCACCTTCATTTGAAACAGGTAAGTCAGAGCTGCTCTGGTTGCCGTGGGCGTGGGAAGCAAGGCTCCAGATTGGGGGGGTGGGGGTGGGGCACCGCCAGGGACCACAGCGTGGGACCCTCGGGGCCCAGTTTGGAAAGTCTGTGCAGCTGGTTGGGAAGAGAACCCAAGAGGCCCCAGCTGGGGTTCAGCCAAGAGCCCCCGACCATCACTTCCCCTTCAAGATGCAGACCTTGTGGCCCCAGGTAATAAGCTGGGACCCCAACATTCCTTCCCCTGAAGACTCCCACCCCCCGCTCCTCCCACAGACCTGCTGAGGGCTCAGGCCATCGGGCATGGGGCCCAGCTCCGGGGCTGGGGGCTTGATGTCCGTGACGCTGACCTCCAGGAGCCCCATGTCCTCGTCCTCCGAGTCACCTGGAAAGTCAGACAGGTTGGTGACACAGCAAGGCCAGGACAACTCGCCCTGCTCAGGCTCCAGGAGCCGGGAACCGCCCTGGCCCGGGGTCCTGGGGGCTGAGTGGAGCCTGGGGCCACACAGGGTCAGAGCCCAGTGGCCGCATCCTCGGCCACACTCCCCTGCAATAGCCTGTCCCTAAATAACCATGAGCGAGGGAGGAAACAGCAGCATCCACTCGTCAGCGTCCCTGTCCCTGCTCAGACCCGCCGGCTTCTGGCCTGGCGAGGCCCGGCCGCCTGGGAGCCCATCACTAGGCACTAAAAATAGTTTTCTTCTGGACGCCTGAAAGGGAGAAGAAAGACCCCCAAAGAACGAGCTGTTGGGCTTTGTGTTTTCATCTTTCAAAAAAATATGCAAAGACGCCAAAGGGGAAAAGTTCAGCTGGCGTCCTCAGGGCACCGTGGGCATGAGTGGGCGTGGGTCCCAGACGGAGGGCCGGGGAGACAGGCTCAGGCAGAGAGAAGGGGAGGTTGGCGGAGGGCAAGGGTCTGGCCTTGGAGCCTGGCCCCTACGAGAGAGAAGTGGACACGGGAGACGGGACCCTGGCTGCTCAGGGCTCTGACACCCCATGGCAGCGGCCGTGAGCAGCAGGAAGTGGGTGCCCCGGGGAAGCTGGGAAGAAAGAAGTGGCAGTGACTCCCGGGGCCAAGGGAGCAGGGACACTCAGGTGGGCCCTTACCTGAGCAGGAGACGGAAGAGGAGGAGGAGGAGGGACAACGAACCACAGCGTGGGGGTGGGGGTGGTGAAGGCCCTCCTTCCCGGCCCACATGGCACCGGGGCGATCACTCCGCACCCACCCCAGCCTCCGGCCCTGCGGCTTCCTCTTCCCCCATGCAGCGCTGGGTAACATTCTTGGCCGGTGATTCGAGCTCTGCCACAGCTATTAATAACGCCTCTGGTGGGAGGGTCACTTTAGGAAAGGCTCTGGGCCGGGTGGGGAGGGCCTGGGGAGAGCCCGCTGGCCGCCTGGCTGGCCTGGGGGTGGGGAGAGTGACCAGGAACTGCTCCCAGCCAGCGCGCCTGTCCACCCTGCTCTTTCTCCGGGCCACTCCACTGCATTCGGGCCTGTCCCCTTCCACACCGAGGGCCAGGGCACCCTCACAGATTTAGTGCTGCATCCGCGCATGCGCTGTTGGGATTAACTGTGCAGGGTCACATGGCCAGGAGGCAGCAGAGCTGGGATCTGAACCCAGGACAGAGAGATTCGGTCCTGGCACCAGACA